CGTCGTCCGTGTCGTCACAGTCGCCGCAGTCGACGTCGCTGCCGCCGCCAAGGACAGAGTCGGCGTCGTCGTCGTCAAAGTCGTCGTTGTCGTCAAAGTCGTCAGTCGTTGTCGTCCTCGTCGTCATCCTCGTCGTCGTCGTCGTCGTCGGAGTCGTCGTCTTCGTCATTGTCGTCGCCGTCAAAATCGTCGTAGTCGTCAAAATCGTCGTTGTCGTCAAAACCTTCGTCGTCGAAGTAGTCGTCGTCGTCAAAGTCGTCATCGTCGTCAGCGCATCGTCGTCGTCAACGCCGTCTTCCGTCGGCGTCGGCGTCGGTGTCGGCGGCGTCGTCGTCGTCGTCGGCGGTGGCGTCGTCGTCGTCGAAGTCGTCGTCATCGTCGTCGCCGTTGTCGTCTTCGTCGTCGAAATCGACGTCTTAATGGAAATCAAAGTCGTAAAGTCGTCGTCGTCGCCGTTGTCGTCGTCGCCATCGTCGTCGTTGTCGAAGTCGCCGTCGTCGACAATGTCGAAAGTTGTCGTCGTCGTCATTGTCGTTGTCGTCGTCGTCGTCGTCGACATCGCCGTGAAAGTCAACATCGTCGTCGTCGTCAGAATCGTCGCCGCTTCCGTTGTCGTCGTCGGCAAAGTCGTCGTCGTCGTCGAAGTCGTCGCTGTGATGTGATCGTCGTTGTCGAAGTCGCCCTCGCCGTCGCCGTCGTCGCCGCCGCCGTCGTCGTCACCCCCCAAACTATCGGGGGGGGGGGCCTGCGGAACCCTGGGGCCCATCCCATCTGTGGGCGGGGGGGGCCCGTGAACCTTCGATCCGGGATCGTACATGCACCCACCTTTGACTACCTACCAGACCACCCCAACCCAACCCGAAGACCCGAATTTCGGGTAGGGGGGGGTATGGGCTCCATACGTGTTTTTTCGATGTTCCCGGACCCCCCCCCACTAGAAATCGAGGGTAAATCTGACCCTTCGGGTTGGGTTGGGGTGGTTTGGTGGGTGGTGAACCTTGGGCCCACGATCCGGGTGGCCCAGCTCGGCGCGGGCATCAAGTTGGTGCCCTGCGACCTGGCTGGCCGGGCCTGGCGCGGGCGCGGGCGCGGCGGGCCCGCAGGGGCCCCCGGGCTCTGGGGGCGCCGCGGGCTCGGGGGCCGCCTCGGGGGCCGCCCTGGGCTCCGCCTCGGCCAGAGAGGGCTCCGGGCCCAGCCGCTCGAGCTCTGCGGCCAGCCTCTTCCGGAGCTGCGCGACGCGCGGCTTCGCACCGTCGACCTCGTCCAGGAGGCCCTGGATGCCCTGGAGCGTCTGCTTGCGCACTGCGCGGTCCTCAGGAGGCAACTACTGGGAGGTTTTCGTCGGAAAGGGGATTAAGCCACTTTTGGGAGCTGTTACGCCGGAGTGGGCCTCGGATTAAGCGGGATTAAGCCGGATCAAGCGGAATTAAGCGGGATAAAGCGGGATTTTGCGGGATTGAGCCGGATTAAGCTGGATTTTCAGACCAGAGCAAAATCAGAATTTGACCTCCTCGGAGTTGCATCCGAACGGTCCTCCTCCGCGAGCATGCCCTCCATCAGGTCCTCCCCGAAGTTCCGGAAGCCTTGCTGCAGGCGCTCCACCTGCCGCAGCTGCTCCTCAGCGCGCTCGCGCGCGGTGGCCAGGTCCTCGGCGTCGGCGTCGGCGTCGGCCCGCCGCCGGCAGAGCTGCGAGAGTGCCTTGCGGAGCTCCTGGACGGGCTCGTCCCGCTCCTCTACGGACTTGGCTACCTCGTCGATCTTGATCCGCTTGAAGGCCTGAGACTGCGTGCGACGCAAGGGTGCGTCATCGCTGCTGTCCGCCTCCATCGACACGGGCTCGTCGCTCGCAGGTGAAGGGGTCACTGACGCGACGTCTGCAAGCGACTCGGCGTTGGACATTGATGTTGGGATGGGGCGGATCCGCCTTGACACCTGAGAGTATCACTAGCTCAAATGGCACTTGAGTCAAAGACTACAGCGATGTACCACACCGACATCACACTACAGGCACTACAAGCCCCTTGGGCAAATTGCGAGAAGCCCCAGGCGAGAGCGCACCTCTTAAGTAATTTACACGGCCGTCTCGCGCGCGAGCCCGATTCCTGAATTGAAGTTGACAGGGTCCCAGGCGGGAGACGATGTCGAAGTAACCCAACAAGGCAGTTTGACCATGAACACGTTTCCCGACCAGAGAAACAGGTTGCAAGAGCGGAAAGAAGCACTTCACATGAGAAAACACAACGAGGGAGGATCAGCTAGGGGCAATGCCGACTTGAAGGGACGGCCAGAGCGGTAAGCTCCCGCCGAACGTTCCAAACGTCATCAACATTCCATCTCCACCCACCCCTCCTCCCTCCTCCGCCTCTGCTTCCGCCTCCTCCCTCTTCCTCCTCCTCCTTCTCCTCCTCCTCCTCCTCCTCCTCCTCCTCCGCCTCCTCCTCCTTCCTCCTTTCTCCTCTGTTCTTCCTGCCATGGCTTATTACGGCACACCCCTCACGCG